CATTAGCACCTCTAGTAATATATTTACTGAGAAAAATTGTGATGTGTTCAATACTTATTTTACCCGCTGTATTTTTATTTATTTCAATGTGAAGTGCACATGCTGTAATGTTCTGTGGAAACATTTTAAACTATTACAACAAGAACTTTTTGTGTGTGTTTATTGACAAGCAAAACCACAAGAGGTGTTTTCACTACTTGCATCTGAAAGTCTAAAAATAAGAGTGGAGTATTATTTTTCTACAGCATGATCAGTGGCAGTTTCAGCTTCAAAATATAGTAAAWACACATCATAACATTTTATTTTCCATGTCATAAATCTGTTACCTTGCTTTCAAAAACTATTTGATTTTTTTTAATCAGGTGGTCTTTTAAAAAAAAGTTCTTTAAACTTTGGCTGTTTTTTTCTTACTCATTTGTCCTCCAGAACTTTAACTTGACTATGACATAATTTTCAGCTTGTGCTTAAAAAGGTGGACATCTGGTGAATAAAAAAGTGCTGAGCTTTACAAAGACAAAAAACAACAACATTATAGCAGAGATCCCATACTCACTAAAAATAAACACCACACGCCTCAGAAATGAGCAACTGATGCACTATTTAAGCCCAAACATAAATGGTTATATTAGGCATTTTGTCCCTTCAAAGCACAAAGAAGCAGTCTCTAAAAATGCAAATGTTCAAGAAAAAGTTGCTCGGTTGGATTCAGAAATAAAAAAGACTGTTTTCCTTTTATTTTTGGTCCAAGAGGTTATTCTAAAGAGCAAATTCAAACTGAATTACAGCATCATTTTGTGCCTCATATAGTTTATGTTTTTGATAAATTTCTCCATATTTGTTTAGCTCTATCAAGTTTCTGGGTCACATCAGCAAAAACGAGATTGTGTTGTTCTACACATACTGTATTTCATAAAGAGGCTAACTATCCAGTCAGCACATTTAAGTTGAACTTTGTAATTAATTGGAGTGTAAATTGCGCAACTTACTCGAAGAGCTCAACAAAACGAACTCAACAGTTGATAAAACACAGCAGGAATAAATATACAAACATTAAATGTCTAAATTTAAAAGCCTGTTACTGTTAAAAAAACAATCACTATCAAATGTGCAACACATAAAGATGTCCTAAAGAAACTAATGGGTAAATAAACATTAATGAAAAGAAAGAAAAATGTCAGAGAAGAGGACACAATCTCCTTTTTTGTGTCAGCTGTTCATCCAACTTTAGGAGGAGCGACAGGAAGTTCCGGTTGGGGAAAATGGCTCGTTTTTGGACAACATGTCTCAGAGCATCTTTCAGAGAGAGATGCTTCCTCATCATGAGGTAGGCCAGGACCAAGGTGGCCGATCGACTCACGCCCATGATGCAGTGCACCAACACCTTTCCTATAGAACAGCATGGGAAATGTGAAAGACAATGTAGAAAAATCAGAAAACCATTGCTTCTGTTGGGGCAGGGAACATTAGATTGAAATTTGTTTTACCGTCTTGGCTCTTTAGGGCTGTTTGTATGAAGTCTGCAGCAGATTTGAAGTGCTGGCTGAGGTCAAAGTGGTCTGAATCTTCTGCCGCGATGCCGAAGTAAACACACGTGTCTCCATAGAAGCTCTGGTCGCCGATGCTGCCCTGCTTGGAATGAGCTGCATTCAGGACGTGAGTGATGCCAAGCTTATGTAATGTCTTTCTGTTCTGTGCCACAGCCCTAAAGAACAGATGTGAAAGATAGGTTAAAAAYGTATGCATTAGTATTATGTAACAAGAGTTTCATTTAACTTAAATGTGTTGCAGCTGAAAAACAAAAAGATCACTTCCACTGGGAAAAAAAAATCCTAAGAAAGTCACCCTTGAAATGCTCAGCAATGTTTTGTTTCTGCCTGCAAACACATTAGACACTCACACATTTCCTAGGTACAAATTGGGCCAGACTTCATCCACCGCTGTGAGCTCCAGTTTGCAGGAATCCAGGATGAGCTCCAGCTCCTTAATGAGCACCAGGTTCTGCTGCTGGCTGCTCTCTGACATTCTTCCAGRACGCAGGGTGAGACCTTCAGCAGACGCTCGTGTTGCTCCTGCAGCCTGAGCCCTCTGTGCCTCTCAGTGAGAAACATAAGCAGGTGGCTGTTTTTGTAATGGTGCTCGACTCCAAAATTAGCCCCTGTGTGTGTGTGTGTTCAGTGTGTTCCCTCTGACTGGATGCAGATTATCTAATGTTCCTGTTGGATTGATTGGTCTGTTCAACCATGACTGTCCGTCTCTCTCTCCCTCCACACCAACAGTGAGATCAAATCACAACAAAACAAAACATAGGACACAAGTGAAAATAGTACAAAAGAAAACAGACTAAACTAAGTCGCGCAACTAAAAAAACAAGTTTAGGACTTTTCTTTTTCGTGGGTGTTGGACTTTTCTTCAAGCAGTTTTCGGTCCAGCTCTATAAGTTGTCGTAGGAATCCTCTGTTAGGAAAAATCCAGCGCTTCTGTTGCACACAGCGAATGGACGACAGGAGACTGAGGCGATGGTGGATCATCAGGTAGGCGAGAACCAAAGTAGCTGAACGGCTCACTCCTACTGCACAGTGTACCAAAACCTTCCCTGGGAATCATTAAAAAAACACAAACATGCCAAATAATGAGCAATCCAGCTTAGTTCCTCATTGGTAAATTGTTAAAAGCTGCCTTCAGTACCTCCTGACATCAAGGCCTGGTGAATAAAATCTGCAGCCAGGTAGAAGAAAGGTGAAAGGTCAAACGTTGGCAGGTCGTTGGCGGGGACGCCGTAATATTTCACCGTGSTTCCGTAGAAATCCTCACTGCCTTTACAGCAGAGTTTACCATGAGAGGCATTCAGCACATGAGTGATGCCCAGCTGCCAGAGCCCAAACTTGTCATGAGACATAAACCTGACGAATGCAAATGAAATTAAACATTAATAAGAGTCTATGGCTTGTATAATAACTGAAACACAAGATGAATTACGCACATGTCTCCCAGAAAAAGGTTCGGCCACACCTCATCCCCATGATGACATGAGCTCCGAGCTGAATGCAGAACCTCTTCTAGCTCCTGCACGGACGGGATCCTACCTGCTACACATGTTGGGTCTTCATCTTCTGTGTTTGTGTCTTCTGTGTGCTTGGAGTCTCGTATAGATTGTGTTGCTCCAGTGTCTGAATGTGACTGTCTGTCTGTCATTGCTAAAGTATTTATACTGCTCTGTACTTTCCCCACAGTTGAAACGTCCCGCTGCGTGCTGCTCTCACCCTGACAGTGACGGTCACCAACAGGTTGTGTRGGCTCAGGCTGGACATGTGTTATAAATACATCTGTGATTTAAAAACAACTTCACGAGCCTGTTAATTGTGCATTGTATATGTTGTATGCTGTTGTTGTGTTGTGTTGCATTGCTGTACTGGGAAGAGTTTTGGGACWGTATTTGAGAAAATGATTGTGGYTGGTATTATGTATTTTCCAGGTGCATAGTTCAGTCAGTCAAGTAACCTTGTTWCCTTCATTTATTATGAAAAGATTGTATATATCAAAAATAAATTTTACTTTGCAACATAGCATATCTGAACACCTTGAAGTTGGCCTCCATCTTTTTAAAGTGCCTGTGACATGCGTATCCTAAAAATACAAAACGAAAAAAATAATTAAATCTTTATATTTAAGAAACTTGGCATCCCAATTTCTCACATAACTGGCACATTTTCCTTTGAACTTTGCTCAGCCAAAGTGAAACAGGAAGTGACATCAAAGGGGAACTTTTCACAAAAACAAACCCTCTGGTCTTTGTTTATTGAATCAATATTATTTGAGCTGTGTGACTCTTCTTCATCTCTCTGATAGAGACTCAAAACAATCTAAAGAAACATCTACAGTTAGCCATTTTAGCAATGCTCTGTTCACATTTAGACATTCCCCTTTGATGTCACTTCCTGTTACAACAAATAGGAAATTTTCAACAACTGTTCATCTCAGCAGTGATTTATTTTTCAAATATGTCATTAATTTTATTTTTTAAAAATGCGTCATATTTACAACAAAAATTTGATGTCACAGGCACTTTGAGTACCTCCTACTGCTTCTGATTCTCCCATTTCAGCATGTCTTCACAACAATGTGTGTGTGTGTGTGTGTGTGTGTG